TTATTTATGTGATGCCCTCAGATTAATTTCTTATCTCAAAATTTGCAGTAAATCGTTATTAGCAGCAAAGGCATTAAGGATTTATCTTTGTTATTTGTAAAAAGAAAGGAAGAAACAGACGTTTTTACAAGTCTGCTACCTAACGTTAAAAAACTAATTGTTGAAGTTCGACAGCAAAATCTGACTTGCAACTTGTAACTCAAAAGCAGACTAGGATTTGTATAATCAGACTGAGTCATACAATTCCTCAGATGGATCAGAAGTTTAAAAAAGAGCATAGGGTATGAATTTCTAGGAAAAATACCCCACAAGATCATTCTCAAGAGTGAGAACAGCTGATGGTCTAGCTACAACCACTGGGATTCTCCCAGGAGCAGCAATTTTACTGCACTGTGTATGTGAAAGTGAACTATATCTTCAGTCTTTGGCTGATTATATCCTTTATGAGTGTACTTCTTGCCTCCTTCCCCGACTCTCCATGCAAGTAGAGTCTTGAGGCATTCGTGAGAGCAAGCTGCTAGGAAAAAAGGAATATGGAATTTACACCTCAATTTATTGTGGTCAGAGCAACAGAAACATGTCCCACTCTAACAATCTGACAGGTAAGAGACCAATCTGCATCACTGGTCAACAGGACATTGTGTACCTTGCCCATAGCCTAGAAAGCCATAAAAAAACATACACAATCACTTGATGTCATCAACTGCCCCACTACTGAATGGCTTACATTGAGAGCAGTATTTAACAGGTTGTGGAATGCAGATGGCTATCCAAACTACCAAAGCTGAAAGGGAAGCTCGGCAGGAATTACACTACATTTTATTTATAAAACCCCTTTCTCATCCTTTCTACTGTCAGATACTATTTTCTAAGATCTAGGAGTCTCCCTAGCATCACAGTGCTCTCTAGGAAGTGATAAATATCTTCCCTAGACTGCTGCCTTCCAAACCTACTCGAAACTAGAGCCTGTGGCCTGCTGTGTGTCTCTGTCCTTTGACAAAAACCAGAGAATGAAAAGTTAAACTGGTTCCCACCAGCACTGTTGACAGCACAAGCCAGTAATGGCCAGTTTAACCATGAATCAGAATCTCTGTCATCAGAAATTAAAAATACTCCAGTCACATAGCCTGATGCTTGATGGTGGAAGAGAAGACACACATACATTTGTCACCAGAATTGCTGTGGAAACCCTTTACCATGCACCAGGCACCGGAAAGTTTCAGGCTGTTCCAATGTCACATCCATGGATGCATCACATGAAGGAAAACAATTTGCTCATGAAAGCAAATATCAATCATTAATACTTTGTCCATTTCTAATGCAGACTTGGACAGCTGCCAAGGAGAAAGGAGAAGCATCTGTGAGGCTGCTGTATCTCAGAGTCCCACACAGAGAGTGCTCATGCATGCTGACATGAGAGACAAAGTATGTTCTGCTAGAGAAAGGCCAGGGAGAGGACCTTGCCCCAGAGAAGGAACAGCTTGCTGGCTGAGATGAACTCACACCAAATCACAGTCTTTAACAGTTTTAGTTCAGCAAGATTTTTTTAAAGGATTATTTTGTTTTCCTTCACCATAATATTAAAAGCATGGCTTCTAGTATTTACATGAACCTTACCTCTAAACAACAAAACTAGTTTAAAATAGCCAACCTTCTTTCTTTACCCAGATAGTACATTTCTTAGAGAATTAACATCAGACTAGAAGCTAAACTTTTTCTCTGAAAAGCAGGAATACTTCCATTATTTGGAAAAGGGAAAGCATGGGCAGATTTTGGTTGTACTGATTTACTGGGAGAAGAACCCTTTCTGGTTCAAGCTAGTCCAAATACATTTTTATACTGCAGATAAGGAAAAGCAGGTATTTTTTTGGTTCGCCCAAGTCAGAATTTATTTTCAACTAAAATATTAAATATTTTATTACTTTCTTTTCTACAGAAGAACTCAGCTTACATGGTATTTTAAGTAGCTTTCTTTTTAACAGTAAACCAAAATCATATGAAGGAACTTCATTTTTTTAAAGATTAGGCTAGAAAATTATTTAGTATTTTTACTGTGGTCTTTACTTTTCAGAGATAAAATAGAACCATAAGCTTTTTCTGGAATAAAAAAAAAAAAAAAAAAAAAAGGTGCCTGTAAGTTATAATGAAACTTTAAATGGGAAGATGTGAAGAAAAATTATCTTTTGTCATCTATTTTTGAAGAAAATAAGCAGTAAAACAATTAAAATGGCAGGAGGTTGTGCCCAGTAATTAGGTGTGCGTTAGGTGAATTTAGTGTGTACTTTATAAGACCATAGGAAAAAAATATAGGGGTTAGTAAAACAGTGAGTTTAGAAATTATTAGAATTTATCCTTGATCTTAGCATGGACTTGCATGGCTAGGACATCAGGAACTTTCTAAGTGCTTCTCCAATCAGCATAACAACTTTGTTCTTTGAAGTCAGGTAGCCTTTACTTATTAACCAAACTGATCAATAATTTGAATTTTCAATTTCTCATGGTGCAGTTAAGACCAGGGAAATTGCTGACAATCATAACAGGCTGGAATTTCTGCATTATTTAATGACATGCCAAGGGACTCTGAATTATTTTATCTGTATGTGAACAGATTCTGTTTTCTGTGGATAGCTTTAATTTTTAAAAGTCCTGAGATTTTTCAACCACAGCTTCCAATATTTAAAAAATGCCATTTTAATATTTAAAAAAATGCTGTCCACCAAGTTATCTGGATCTGAGTTTCAGTTTAAGGGGATAAGCTTCTAAATGTACAGCCTCCATATAGTTTCCTGAGACAAGCAGATGTCAACACTGGCTAGAAAGCAGTTCAGCAGAAAGGTTGTTGGATTCAGGAGCTGACTACAGTCAGAATCTGGAACTAGGAGGCACGAATGTGTGCAGCTAGTGTCATGTGAGAGATTCCCTAGGTATCCAAGACAGCTGCCTGTGACTGACAGCTACAACCACAGTCCAACACAGACTCCAGCCCCCGTACATAAAACAGCCAGCGGCTAAGGCCGGAGACACTGGATCAATTCACACAGCAACAATGCCTGAATGCAGACAGTGTAACTGAGCCCAAGCAGTTTATCATGAGCTGAACGGCTTTCTAGGGGCACTGAGCATTGACTTAGCCTTCACTGACTGCAAGGAGTGCTGAGACACCTCACAGGTCAACACCTACCCAACACAAGCTAACAGGTTTAGGCATCTTAATGTAAAGCTGAACGCGACTCTGACTGTTTCATGCCCTTATCTCTTCCCCACCAGTGCTCTCAAAAGAATTACTCCTGGACTCAATCAGCCAGTTGAAATGACTGAGTACACACATATCCTCCTGACACAATAGGAGCATCTTGAGCTGAAAAGGAGGAAAAGGCATTATTAAGAACAATGGTACGTGTTGCTGAGGTCGATGCAATGACCCAGAGGGGAGCATTTCCACTGGGAGGAATTACTGAAGTTAACATGTAAGAATTCTCTCTTAAAAAAATTTGGGGAACATTTTTAGAGGGCTTTTCATTTGGTTTGCATCTCACTTCTCGTACACCCACAATGAGATTTCTCTGCCTTTCTGCCCTTGAAACAGCACTGAACACTGCCATCTCGATGGTGGTTCCTTGCCTACAGCTACCCCAGGGCATTTCATGCAGAGATATGAGCTCCAAAGACTGAGCAGCTGTTTGCAAGCATTAGGCAAGAGACACTCCCTAAGCAACTGAAACGTGGGAGGTGGGGGTCCAAACCCAGAAGGAAAGGACACGGGTGGCAGCACAAGTTAACATCATCTAGAGGGCAACCCACAGGCTCAAGTATCAGCCTCAGGTCCTCAGCAGAGCTTGTTCAGAGCTACAGTGCCACATAGAATTACAGTCTCTCTCTTCATCAACCCCCAGCAGCAGAGAGGCTGAAGATACCTCTCTGTGTAGTCCACACATCAAGAACCTATTGTGAAACGTGAGTGCCATGGGCAGTGGTCATCTCCAGTATCATACAGACTTCTTATGCAATTCTCTTAAACGGAGCCTGGCACTGCAAGGATACTGCGCATTCGGGCCAAGTGGTTTGAGGGTTTGTCAGTCTTTCAACAGAAAATGACATTTAGAAACTAAAAAAATCTAAAAGAAATGCTTGCTTCTTATAATGAAAATATTGACTTTAAAAAATTGCCAGTCAGTAAGGTGGCAAAGCTTTAACTTTCAATTATGATTCTGAAATATAAAAGGACATCATAGAAATCCTGGTTCGAGTAACTAACTTATGCTATGACAGCTCCACAGACTAAAGCTTATTTCCCACAAAGCATGTGCAGCATACAAAAAAGATGAGTTTCTCAAATGATTTTACTAAGTATGGCATTGGTACTGGCTTTGTAATTTATTTTTCCTTGCTCTTCCATATTTTTATAGCACTCAAATAATTCACATTTAATTTTTGCTATATATAATGTTTCCTTGCTGTCGGCCTATTTCTCCGTTAGAACTGAAGTTAGGTCCCTTGATGTCCACGTCTTCAATTACAGCTCACAAGACAAAGTTCCACTATTCTTAAATAAAGCAGAACTAATTCAAAGCAGTGTATCTAATTAATCAAAATAGCTAGCAGTGCAATATTTAAAATAACTGAGGGCTGCCTGGATTATAGCAACATTATTAGCATGTGATTAATAAGCAGTTGAAGTATTACATTTGCTACACATTTGCTAAGTTATTTTATCTTGCTTTAAAGTTTGGTGGCAAAGTTTCAAGCCACAGTTAGGAGATTTTCTCTATTCACTATTATGTTGTTAACCCCACCATCTGGTCAGACAGCTGAGGGAACTTATGTGGGGGGCATATTTCTCTCTTGGGAAATATTTCTCTTACAGAATTATGCAATGGTTACCAGTTTCTATCTTATTACAGTAGGATCAAAAAATATGGTGAAATACTTTGTAGACAACCTGAGCTTAGTGGGCTCTGTATTTAACTGTTACTTATGTAAGAAAATAAGATGGCACTTACTTGAGGACCAGGCTGACCCTGAAAAAAGAGAAAAACAAAAGATTACGGAAAGTTATGACAAGGGGGAACTCCTTAAATAGTAGAAAATAGTTGCAGTGCTCTCTAATAAGGAGTTAACAACATATACAGTGACTGCACTGAAGTCAGCTTTTGGCCTCTTGATATTGAATTGGGGTGTTTTAATTCAAACCGATGAACTTACTTGCAACTGATTCTAGAAATAAATTACAATAACAAATCAAAACTACATTTGAGAAACTTCTTATTTTAGATATCCATAAAAATTTGGAAATGATAGGAAGACCTAACTGACAGTTCTCAAGTGAGAAAGAAGCCAGAGGTGCTGAGCTGATTCAGAAGCAGGTAATATGGGTTTTTTCTCTTTCATTTCTCTATTATGGCCCATCCCCATGATTCAAGGAGATGCTAATTATTTACTATTACTGGTTATTGAATGAAAGAAGTCTCAGAACTGGAGGAACACAGTGCTGGACAAACAGTAGTCTTTTTGCCATTGCTACAGGCACCACAGTTTTAAGCAAGTGTAAACAAGTATTTAAACCAGCAACAGTGAAAGGTCTGAGATGATCTTTTCTCAGTCAATCCAAGAAGACAGCTGATACATTTCCTCTCTCTTATTTATCAGCATCTCATTTCGATCACCCCTGGAGTGGAGAGGCACCCTTTGCACACTGAGGAGCTGTATTTCTTCTTGCTGCAAGTCCTTACAGAGAAGAACTCCTATCCCTAATTTCACTAGACCATAAAAGCCAGTGAAAAACATGAATTAATTTAGTGCCCTTAATAGAAATTACTTGCATGACACAGAATTATTTTAGCAAACAGTACAGTAGCTATAAACAACATGACCTGGACAATCAGCTCACACTGTAAGACAGAGAAAAATAATTACATATTTCTCCTTAGAGAAAATTCCTTTAAATGCCTAGGGCTAGCTTAGCTTCTGGTGTTTTATAACAATTAAATAAAACTTCATTTAAACTGAAACTACATTTCCTTTTGTTGACAGAAACTAAGCACTGAGACTCCTTTTAAATCTTATAAAACCACTTCAGCTGGAAGTTACACCTACAGAGAGTTGAAACTTTTCTGTCTGAACATCAGGAAACACTTTTTTTACTGTTAACCAAGCACAGGACCATGGGAGATTGTTGAGTTTCCATTTTTGAAGATACCCAATCCAGCATCAAGACATGATGCTGGGCAAACTGCTCGAGATAGCTCTACTTGAGCTGAGAGGTTACACCAGATGACCCTTCTGACTTCAACCATCCTGTAATTCTGGGTGATTTTAGATGGGGTGAGGGGCCAAAGCATTTCAACTGGGAACCATTACCAACAAGAAAAGCAAATGAAGAAATGCTTCTTTATAGTAACTAATAAAACTTTCTGTGCCAACTAAAAATCCCAATGAAATGGTATTTAAATTCACAAAAATGTTTTAAAATGCTTTTTTTAAATATATGGAACAACGTTACACAGAAATACTGGTAAAATACAGAAATATTGTGGCTACCTAATCTTTACACTGAATTCAGCCTAAAGCATTTGTTGTTGTTGTTGTTGTTGTCTTCTATTTGTTCCTTAGAACAAAACTGGACCACAGAGGATATAATAAAATAACTTACTGGCTGAGGTTTGTCAGTTCAAATATTAGGCAAAACTTTCTGAGTTGGTGAGCTCTGTGAAGTTACACATCACACTGGGTTAATGAATATGATTGAGACTCCTCAGCACTCAGATTTTACCTCAATCTTCCCCTCACAGCAGGTTTTAAGATATTTTATGTTATACCTGATCTTAAAATCATCAGGAATTTCTTATTGATGCAGTACTGAGCAGCCAGTACAATAAAATTGTTTAAATTATCTAAACTAAGGTCTGTGCCTGCAAACTTTATACATAAAATTCAGAATACATTTGCTCACAATATCTAAAGTTGCAATAGATTTTGACCGAATCATTAAAGGCTGTCTCCAACATATATGTGTATATATATACATATACATACATACATACATATATATATATATATTAAATGAGCCAAAACTTAAATGAAGGTCTGACATTGCCAAAAAGTTTCAACAAAGTTGTTTTAAAGCAGTAGAAAGCAAATAAACAGAATATATGCATGTGTGTTTTAACAATGAGACTTGAAAATTTACTTTTTTCCTTCATTTAAGACATAGAGGCTGCTAAGTGTCCACATGGTATATGCTATATGTATGATAGAAGAGACATACACACATAACACAAACATATCCTGAATTGAATGTGAGGTGAGGGTTGCAATCATCCTCCCATGAAAGTGTTTCCTGCTCTCAATCTCAACAGCATCATTACTTTGCCTTTCTGGTACTGAGCATTCATAGTTACTCTTCTTTTGTATCTCCAATACAGAAGCTGGAAAATGAATTTTTATAGGACAATGGTTTTTCGTGTAGACAGAAAACTCTTTGAGATATCGTGGAATATAATAGTTAATTATTAATTATTATTAATTAAGCATTAATCTTAGTTTATATATGCTGCCAATATTACAATTATCCTTCATTTAGCTACAAATGGAGATGGCGAATACAAAAGTACTCAAAGCAGGATGATTTTAACCCCTTGGCCATTAGCTCCTTCAGCATGGAAGGAAATTTGAGCTAGTGAAGGTAATTATTTTCTAGTTTTTACAATGGTTCCCAATCCTTCAATATTTCTGAGTGATCCTGTCTACTCCTTGCCCTACTATCCACTGCAGTTACTGCAGAATTTTCCCTTCTCACAAGTGATGCAGTAAGTGACACTACCCAGAGGGTGCAGCAAGCACTGAATTATGGAACTCATCAGCTCTTCTTACAAAGGTATGGGTAGAAAAGCATCACAACACTGACATGGTTAATTGCAAAGGGTTATTGTGACACAACAGCAATTCAAAGTGTGAGACACAAAAAGGGGCTGTTAATTTTGTCTTCTCTCATTTTTGTGTGTCATGAAAGGGTCAGGAATGAAGCTCCTTGAGTTACTTTGGTATTCATTAAAAAATCCTCTAACATGAATTCAATCTGATACTGTAACTCATTGGAGCAAACTCAATCTCAATTTATCTGCTTGTGTTCCCAAAATGGCCTCAGGACTGCTGAAATCAGTCTGGTTCATTGCTACACAAATTGCCCCCAGTTCATGTTACTTGTGGATTAAAATGTTTTAGCTGTAAGTCTTTCTCTAAATTTTAGATAGGAGAGAAAGCAGGGAGAAAATACTGCTCAAGACTGAAAAGTCAGCTTTACTCTAATTTTTATCTCATGAACATCTCTTTATTCAAATCTGTTACATATTCTAAAATTGATTCATTGATTCTAGCTACCAACTAACTGCTGTCTTTGCATGCATTTAGGGACCACTGACTGGTTCAATGCATTTTGGTGGCTGCTCCTTTGAACCCCAGATTGTTGCTCATGTACTTGATTATACCAACTGAATGCTGCTTTTTATTATTTTTTTAAACCTAAATTACTACAGTGGGTATAGCTGCATAGTATGTCATGGTTTCAGTAAAATCTCCAGAACAATTTTCCCTTCTATATTCGTATTTACTACCTTAATACACCTTTTTGAGGCAAACAAAGGGATTTAACAACCTATTCTAATTGCCATGATGGAAGGTCTTCTACTGTTGTCAGTTCATCCCTTCCTAGCAATTAAACCTAATATCAGCTGCTGATAGATAAATGATATTTAAACAAAAATAAAATGTCCATGGTGTAACTAAAGCCAACAGGTAAATTAACAATCCCCTAAAAGAGATTAAGGAAAAAGCTTATTGACTGTATGTTGCAAACTTTAGAGACAAGTTACTTAACAGCAGAAGAAACCTCAAGGAGCACAGGAAATAAAGAGAAGAAAATGAAAGCTGACACTGCAAGTCAACAAGTTGAGCTTGCAGAGGAAATGGGGCTTGTAGTAAGTAAATGGATAGAAAAGAAAATAGGTATCCAGGGTATCAGTGAAAAGGGGTGCCCTGGGAAGGGAGAAAAGAGAGGGAGCAAAAGGAATAGCAGGAGAAGGTGCCAAACCTGGATTTTCACACTTTCACCATGGTGTTAATCTCTAAAGAGCTGGGAACATAACTTCCAGGCTCATACTTCTAAACATAAAGCTATACAAATACACACACAAGTACAAATGCATTAACAAATGTGTTGTATAAAATTAAATGTTATTTCTAACTTGATTCAAGCAGCATATCCCTAACAAGTATCTGGAACATCATACAGATGCATTTATTATGGGACATGAGGCTGTTCAGATTTAAATCAGCCAACAAAATCCAGGCACAGAAATTAAAACACAAGAATTAAGAATTTGTGAAAGAAGGAAGAGTCATAGAAATGTAGTCAGAAGCGATATCCAAGTGAACAGGAGGAGCAGAGCTGACCTCCATTTCCTTGCATAGGCACAAAAGACTGAAGCAGCTTTTCAGAAACCTGTTAAAAATCCATGCTACTGAAGTTGAACTAAGTTATGCTGAAGGAAGCCAGTATTTGACTAATACACATTTCAGCATAAGCAATTTTAAAAAGCAAAGAGGGGAATATGTGAAAGACCTAAATTACACTGGTTTTGAACAAATCACCTACCAGCTTTCCATCCATACCAATCGGACCCTGGGATAACCAAAAGTCAAAACAAAACGGAACAGTTAAATCAGAGGAACACTGCAGATGAGGGGAAAAAACAGACTTGGGGAATACTGTGGACTTTAGAAGATGAGTAACTCTATGTCAGCAGCTAATTGCAATACATTTTGAGAATGAAGGCACAGGAAAGAGACAACAAAAGAAGCAGACCTAAGACAGAATTAATAAAAACAGCATGGTGGGGAAGTAGCCAGACAATAGCGGTGTTTAACAAAAGACAGGTTCAACATGCTATGAAGGAATTGCTAGTCTGGCAAATCACAGTGGTCCAACATAACCAAACATATGAAATAATGCATCTTGC